CAGACAGGGTCGTCCCAATATGCGTTTTTGCAATTTGCATATAGGCAAAAACGCATAAAAATGAGATGACATACCCTTGTAGATGACGTACTCGTGTCGCGATGAATTTACAATGCAAGGTGAATACTGGATGCAGGAGCCGCGTCTGCATGTTGCAAAATTCCTCACTGAACATGTCGTAAAAGCAGTTCGCATTTTCAAGGAAACTTCCACAACGCGGGCTTTACCGGAACATGTGGTTGTTTTACGAAGTGGTGTGTCCGAGGGGGAGTATGCCAAGGTGAGGCCTTCTCGCTCTTTTAGGGAACTAATGGTTCGATGAAATACGGTATGTGACTCAACTCCCCTGGCACTCAGTTCTGTCGATATAATGCTGGCTTTGTTTCAGGTTATCACCGACGAAGCGCAGCAATTCTGTGATGCCTTCGTTACTGCTGCCGATGGAGCCTTTCGATAGTAAACTGTATGACATGAAGACAAACCTGCTATCAGCTTGTTTGTGAGCAACCACCGGCAGAGAGAGAGCAATCACCGGCAGAGAGAGGTTATCACCGAGGAAACGCAGCAATTCCGTGATGCCTTCGTTACTGCTGCCGATGGAGCCTCCTAGCGTTGTCTCACAATCATAGTTCTGCAAGCACATTCAAATTACCGCATTTACCCCGAACAAATTTATCAGGGTGCTGTTCCACAGCACAATGTTCGACCGGGTACGGTTGTGGAAAAGGATATTGTCCATCCTGCTCTGGCAGAGTTCATCGTTGTTGCGCACAAAACGATCATGGTTCGTTCAATTTTATCAATCACTTGTGCTGCATACGGGCAGCCGTAGCGCACTGGCAAGCAATACTGTTGCTGTACAGTAGGTTGAGAGTTCTACTGCGTTGCTGAGACTTCGTTTCGATAGCAAACTGCATGCCGAGAAGACAAACCTGCTATCTGCTTGTTTGTAAGCAACCACCGAGAGAGGGAGCAATCTTGGCAGCAATCTTGGCAGTGACTGGTCATCAGCAATCTTGGCAGTGACTGGTTGCTATTGGCGTTTGCTACCAGTCGAGTTACTTCCTCATGCCTCCGCTCTTACTGGGAGCGAATACGGAGGAGATTCTGACTTTTGACGAACGGCTGTGACGCTTCTGTTGCGCAAGCCTATGAAAACACACTTGTGAGGAAAGCGAGAGTGGATCATCAGAAAAAGAATATTGGCGCAGTGGGAGACTGCTGGTAAAGGTTTTACCCCCTTACTGGAACAACTAATCCTTCTACGATTCGTATTTTCGCCACTGGCTTTTGCCAGGTAGTAAACCCGACATCAGCTCGCTTTTGAGTAGTTCTAGAAAGCTACCACTCGGGTTGTTTCCCAATTTCCTTCTCACAAAAAGTTGGGTTTTTTATAAAGCTGAAAAGGATATCCTTTCTGACCGATAATTTCTAGGGCAAAGGGTTCTGGCGTAGAAAAGTAACTTGACAAATAGCTCCCATGTTTCTCTGGACGTAAGAGGAGTCAAGAAAAGGGGAGGAGTGGGATTATCCCTCCCTAATTTTCCTTTTTATTTGGGAAAAAAACTTGAGCAGAAGTCAGGGCGCTCTTAACCGCGAAGAGAATCCTATGTCTGCACCAACTGTTTATGTGCTTGTAACTGATTCTTCTTGAAGGGTACCGCACGTCCTGTACGTGTTACGGTTCTCGTTGATGACAAGCCAAGTATGTCGATGGATGAATTGGTTGGAATGACCAATGCGCTTTGTTATGCGCACGGCATTGTCACATCGCCGACTTCACTTCCCGCACATCTCTGCGCAGCAGCCGATCTTGCTAAACGAGAGCGTAACAACTTCAAAACTGAACAGTGGGTTTCAGGATGTAACAGCCATTTTAAGGATTTAAATTGCGGGAAATTCAGGATAATATTCTCGTTCAGAAGCCTGATAGCTTAAATACTTGTCTCGCCCATTTACTCAATTTACCCGTTTACTCAACATTTATCCATTATTTATTTATTTACTATTTATTTACTTTCATTTATTTGCTCATTTACTCAAATACATTTACTTATTTATTCATTTACTCGCCCAAATAAAAATACAGTGTTCAAAACCTTCCCCGAATTTGCCTCTATCAGAGTCTGAGGCACTCGAAAAGTAGCCTGATTAGCAGCGACTAGCTGCTGGTAAGGTTGTCGATGACTCCTCCCTTTTTCGGGGATCCTGGAAGTCTTGGAAGAATTGGTTGTGCCATAATAATAATTATCATCACAGTTATAATAATGATAATAATAAGAATAACAATAGTAACAATAGTAATAATTACAACAATGATGTAACGATAATAATAATGACAATAGTAGTAATGTTAATAATATCAATAGTAAGAGTAGCCGTGGAGGCAGTAATAACAACAATAATAATTAATAATGTTAGCAGTAATAATAGTGATTGTAATAATAGTAATGAAGGTAAAAATAATAATAATGGATCGCATTTAAGAAGCATCAGTATTAATGATGATGCCTCGACGTCCAGTGGCGGTGAAGCACGCGGTCGTTTCGTCAATGACGGCTCGGAGGATTATTTCCCAAGAATGTCAGCGGAACATGCAAATAAACTGCCGCACAAATTTTGGGCTTGAACAGCAGCAGCGGAGTCGCGATTCACTGCATCACGTATCACGTATTTGAGATCACATTTATTGCCGCCTGTAGCATATTTTGAATTTTAAAATTTCATGAGTTTGGAACACTTTTTTTGGGAATAATTTTTTTTTATTTTTTGGTTTTTTTTGAATGTCTTTTCAATTTTTTGTTTTTTTTTCAATCTTTTCAACTTCTTTAGTTTTTTTCCAATTTTTTTTAATTTTTTTTCAGTTTTTTTAATTTTCGATTTCCCAGCTTCCTTGGTTTTTGTCAATGTAACTTTTTACCAATTTCATTCAACCTTTTTTTCAAATCATGATTTTCAGTTTGGAGAACCCGTTATTTTTCAGTTCTGCTGTGGGATCTTTTTACTGGATAATAAATTGTCAAGTTCCACTTTCATCGTTTTATATCGTGATTATTGCAATTTATCTTGATCCTAAATCGCAGTCATGAAAAATCGTATTTCCTGTTAATGTAATAATGTGAAATGTTGTAAATGTAATAATGTAATAAATCGCAATAATGTGAAAATTATTCCTTGAAAATGTCGTCGTTTTTATGCGTTTTTGCATTTATGTAAATTGCAAAAACGCATATTGGGAAGAGGCTGTCTGT